CTAAAGTTATTCCATTGATGCTTTCTATATTGAAGTTTTGTTTTGAACAATTAATGGAGAATGATGGAATAACTCATCATCTGACGAAAGCCAAGGAAGACGTTTAATTAGTAGAAAGAGGATTATATCAATAAAAGTGATTATTTGAGAATATAAACAAATTCTACCTTGCATAATGTATAAGAAGGAAGAAGAAATAAAATGTTTTGATATGGGGTTGTCATTGTAGAGGTTATGTGAAAATCAAAGAAAAATGTTGAGAATATGTAAAATATAATCTGATCACATATATACTTTTTAGAATCATTTATGTGTACAAATTAAAAATATAAACTAGACAAATTGAGGGTCAGAGGATTCGAAGATAGTTAGGGAAATATTATAAAGTCTTAATTTATGGAACTATCAATCACCCGATAATAATGGTAGGTATAGATTTTACTGTTCCACACACAGTACGTTATTGATTGCAAGTTTTAGGGGGAGAAAACCTGTTGAAATGATTTCAGGAACGTTGTCGTGTGAAATGTTGCTGACTCCTCTTCGTTCCTTGTCTGTTCTCTCATGCTTTATGACATGGTAAATGAATCGTTCATGTGTTCACAATCATACTTGTTCCGTTCACTTATTTGTGTTTTACATTGAACTACTTACTATCATTGAGTAACTAATCACATTGCAAATCATTTTGATGATGTAGTGTAATGTCACTTTGTTGATGTTTCGAGTTTCTCAGTATTTCATAAACTTGTGACATTCAGTCCATTTATCATTACAGTGGCATTGTATTAGTAGCTCTATCAGTTTCCTTGCTTTCAATATACTCAGTGAATTTATGATGTATTTAACCAGTCTCCGTATTCTGTATTCATCGTTCTCGTCTCTACTACTCGATTAAATTGTGACATTTACAAAGCTATCGCCTTGTGGTGTGCATTCTTAGGTGATTTTTTGTAACTGTTGCGTCCATCACTTTACGTACGATTGTAAGCTGATACGGTGAATGCATTAGACACTTGTAGTCTTGGGCTTCGTATACACAATCCGTATTTTTTCTTAAATGATAGTGCTGTATTTGTTTTGCTTCCTTGATCTGCATTGGACATCGTTTAATTTTGCTTGAAATGTTTTGGCTGGTACATTGGTTCCCTGATATCCTTCAATTCGATGAGCTCGACTGAATACTGAACTGATTAGGCAGGAAACTTACAATCCGATTATAAGTGTTTCAATAGACATTCTTAAACATGATTGCAAAGAGAGTAGCACTAAAGATGATGACAATAGGTATGTGAAGAATATTCATAATTGCTTCAATATAGTTGATCAACAAGGTTGACATAAGATAGTGAATAATACCAAACTGGATAACATGATGTAATTACACAAATACACAAATACTTATTAAGATCAACAATAGAGTCTAGTAATTAAACAATGGCGTACATGGGAGTGGAAATAGATCGTTTTTAAAATGAGGCTTATATCAGCGTACTCATCAGTTGCAAGACAAGTAAATTATTTGCGCGAAACAGGTAGGTTTTGATGGCTGATGTAAGGCCAGACATGTAGGGTGAAATATATACTTCGATACCGGTAGGTTATATTATCAATAATTTGTGAGTATTTCGTTAGTCATTTCTGTTTTGTTAAGAACAATGATTCTGTTCAGCAAGAGAACAATACTGTTTCCCTCAAATACCTACTCAATATTTACGCGATATGTAGTTACAATGAAACAGAACTCATCGAGTAGTCACATTGCTTAATTATGATATGGTGACATGCTGATTACAAAATAATGTCGAGTGATTGAAAGAAAGAGAATTGTAACAATCAATGTGATTATTTATGAAATAGAACAGTCGCTACGATGCATGATGCATAAGAAAAGAGAACTAGTAAAATATTTTGGTGAACGGTGTGGTTGGACAACAACATTGGTAGAAAAGTACTACAGTCAAACGAAATTGAATACAATTTAACATTAGTTTCGCTCCATCTATCTTTCACTTTAGTATGTGTGGTTGACAGCCGAAACATGTAAATTACAGTTGGGAATTTGAATAGATCACTAAAAATTCAGCCTTTCCAATTGCAATGTGAAATGAACAAAATTTCAGCTGCTGTTACCATATTGACTACGTTGCTTTTGTCACACTACGCTTACCGAAGGCTGTAATGTGATGTTTTCGTGTGGGAGAGAACGATCACAGCTATTCAACGTTGGTTTAATGTTGACACACTTATTCCGAATGATATTTGTTCCAGTATTTTGTGCACGTATCAAGTTGGACTCTTAGAGGGTCTCACAATGTCAATGAAATGTCTTCTATCTTAGTGGTATATGTCTAAAATATAGACCATCATTCTGATTGCTTGTGAGAAGAATGGTGACATGCTGGCGATTCACCAATATTATGAGTTCAAGCAACAATGAATTACTTTTGACCGCTATTTTTTTGACATATCAAATGTTGGCAAGAAAATCAAAGTAGAAAACCACAAAATATGTGGATATTAAAACAAGTGAGTGTACAAACGATAAAAGCCTAACACGAATTACGATAGTCATTTTTCTTCAAATTTGTTATAAAGCATTAATTTAGTAGGGGGTTTGGGATCCCACGACAGATCAGAAACGCTCGAATTACCATGATTTTTCCAATGATATATTTTATGATAGTCAGGAAGCTTCCACAATTACTTTCATCGCAATCTAAATGAGATTACAAATCGTATATTTCGATGGAGAATGCACAGAAAATAAATTGTTTTTTCTTGGCAGTTTTCAACGTGTTAGAGCACAGACGTTGTTGTCTTCATGGTAAGTTGATCCTATCTTTTGAGTTACTTTAATTAAATTTTGTTCAGTTATCAGCTTAGTTATCAGAACGAATTGAATACTTAATGCTATCTACAAGAATTATATTATGAAAATTTCAATAGTGTACAGATTGATATGACAACAGTACAGTGCACATGAAACTACACAGGAAGATGTAGACGTTGTTTTGATTACTGAATAGTACACATTGCTAGTGTAGACAACGTTGATGAAACGAAGTATGATGAATGAGTGAATAATCTTATAAATTTATTATACACAACAACTTTATGCAAGAATATCAACTGGGATAAATCCTTGTTCCGATTTGCGTTATCACTATTACATAAATTGAATCTGTACTAAAGCGATTATGGATTTCCATGTTAGTATATATAACATCTTTTAAGACGACTACATTTATTCTACGTTAATGAATATATAACTGTGTACACAGAGATTCTAGCTAGTTATCACTGATTGGATGACAGGAATATACATTGTTTTGTGAATTTACGAAAACATACCTCTTTCAGACACAAAGTCTATGGTTTGAGTTCGAGTCTCTACAGTTCACGCTATGTGTATGGGATGAAATAAACCTTTCTAACAAAACATGTGGATATCCGATTCGCTGCTCTCAATAATTTGGTTCTACTTAACACGTATTTTTAACCGACCATGTATGATAGATCAGAATTATGTGTTAGCTTGTTTTAAGCGATGGTAATGCCTATTAATACTTTTTGTTTTTCTTGCATATCTTTTTACAAAAATATGCAGTTTTAACAAGCATGTAATGACAACATTTCGTTGAAAGCCAGAATTCCGTGTTTATACTACTACTTTGTTAAATTTTTTTATTTCTGTTTGTTCTATTGTATACATTATACACCATCAATTAATATGTCCTGAGTTCAATAGCCGTAGGAGGGTTTATAAGTGTGCACAGCTGAAGAGTCATATGCTAGAACCGAATTGCTGTTCAGTGCTTTTAGCTTTTACATGGTTGTCTAAGTTCACAACCCTTATACTAATGCGTATGTATAATTTCTAAAAACTAAATTAATACATTGAGTAATTTTATTCGTAGACATATTAAACTCTGTGTAAATGATATAGATTTAAAAATTTGAACTGAATTATTATTTTTTCATAGTTGAAATCATAAGTCAGTTGAAGCTAGATCACCATGGAAAGCATAATAGAACGAAACGGCCGTCCAGTGCTTCCAGGTTTTCCATGGTGGTCTAGCTTCAACTGACTCATGATTTCAACTATAAAAATATTGAAATATCCACAAAAACCCCTTCTGAATTATTGTTGACAGAAACTAATTATTTGTAATCGGAATTCATCGTATGGAATAACATTGAAGCTACTAAAAGTGTAAATACACGCGAATTTCTTTCCTAACCTACCTTTTTCTACACTCAGTATCTAAATGCGATTTTGGAATTTTCTGATAAGAATAATTCAGTTTAAACGACATGAAATATTCAACATATTAATTGTTTTACCAGCCGAACACTGCTTGTACTAACTTATTGTTCAAGTAATTTAAATAGGATTATGTATTGCAAGAACCTTTCACATTCAATTATAAAATTAATCATAGTTTAAAATTGAAAGTATGGGTTTAGCAGATCGCATGTGGTTTTATATTATTCAAAATATTTCAGTGGAATGCGGTGATTAAGTTTTCAGTAATAAATGATGTTATTTATTTATCATTAGTTGGGTTTCGCTGAATTGAACTGATGGTGAGTTTGATTTGATATCTTCAGTATTTGTGTATCTCCAATCGTTCAAATCAAGAATTCAGATTTTCTTATATCTTCAGACAATTTTCTGAATTTCCAGAATTGAATTTAATCTGTCTACCTTAAAGTGAAATAGTACCTATATTATTATTGGGCATTGTATTCAAGGTCATTCCTGAAGATAAACCCTGGTAATGATTGGACGGTTCAAAATATTGAAATAAAACACCAATAAACTATTTCATTTGCGTAGGTGGACATGGCAATTCAAATGCCGACCTTGATAATGCTAGGCTAAAATAATTATTTCGATTTTTGCCACTGTTTCAAGGTTGCTTCGCTGTGTCATTGCGGACTTGCCATTTTAGCCGTTTGGATTATAGTAATCGTGTGCATTTTAAATCTGTCGGATGACCGACAGGAAAGCACAGGATGTTGACGTATGCTTTTTATCAGACGACCGTGGCATGAACATTTCCCAAGATGGAAATCCGAACAAAAATACAGTAAGTCAAGCTACCATGTTTACAAGTCATAAAGTCACATTTGTTTGAGCAAAAATATAGCTTTCGAGACAACGAATTGTTCGCTTTATGAGAGCGTCAATAGAAATAGCATTTATTCTGTTCAATATATAATCTGTGTGAAAGGAATTATTATCATTTAGATATACAAACTTTTTTAACTAAGTAAATGTTTGAGTGATTATAAGCAGAGATGAATGGTGGCTAGTAGTGGAATCCAGTAAGCGCATTTCGTCCTATTCCGGACTTGTCAGCTGGAGCGTTTCATGTCTTAAAAGTCAACAGAATGATCCAAACAGCCAGTACGTAATGGTTTAAATATTTGAGTGTTTTCAACATTATTTAAACGCACCATTTAAACTCGAAATATACGATCAACCGAGTTGTAAACATAAATATCGTTTCTTCATTAGTTATTTTCACCTACTTTTCATTTTTTTTTTAGTTTTTGGTACCGCATCAAGATGGAACAGGAAATAGCGGTGAAGTAATCCTAGTACGTCAGAATTCAACTGAGCGGGGTGGATGGAATGGGAAATTGGAATTCATGATGACATGTATTGGTTATGCTGTCGGTTTGGGAAATGTTTGGCGTTTTCCATACTTATGTTTTAAAAATGGTGGAGGTCAGTAAGATTCTACTCGCATAAGTATTTGAATTATTTATTATGTTCATTTAACTTTGTTTGCTCTGTAAAAATATTATTGTGAATTTTATATAACAGGACCAAATTGCTTTGAAAAAATATTTGTAAATTTTTATAAGTGTTTCGTTCATTCACGTCAATTTGCTTTTTCGAACGAAAGCATGGGTGTATATCAATCTTATCAATGAAATGTATTTGCATCATAATACCAATTGACCATATTCTTTCTAATTACATGGAGAAGTCATCCATATAGAATAAAACTATAGTTATTTAAATCAATATGATCAATAAATGGCTTTGTGAAGATTGTTCGATGGTATTAAGATCCCATACGGATCTGAGTTGGACAACAATTTAAAAGCTAGTGGGACTTGACAGCTACTTTGTCTAGATAAGATACTCCTCAATTGAATCAGGGACCTTAATCCTCGCAGAAAAATGCCCCAGTCTAATTTCAATCAATCCTCTAAAATGCGCGACGATCCTCTATTTCTTACAATGTATTACTGTGATTTAAACTATCAAAATACCATTTAATATAACGGTTCGGCACTAGGACGTTTTGTCACAGTCCAGATGATCAGTTTCAATTTTAAAAATATTGGTTTCTATGGTTGTGTTCCATTTTGAGTTTACTACTTATATATAAGTATGCATGTAAATTTTTAGGAATATCATACCAAAAGTCAGTAATAAATATTGTTTCGATTCTTATACTCCATTTATTTACGAGTATAATCATTTTTGAAGTATCTCAAAGAGAGATTATCAAGTACGTAAATCAGCATAAACAGATCGTACTCTGTTTATATTAACGCAAACTACTATTTCCCAGTTAACCTTATTGTGTTCAGTTTGTGCATTCAGTTATTTCGGTTTTGTAAATTATTCCACTGATACCGTAAAGTTAGGTAATTCTTTCTTCTGAGATTTTATTATAATTGAATAAATGGATAAAATGCGTATCTTAAGTTGCATGAAACAAATGTGACTGAGAACGAAAATATATGTTCAGCTAGATTGTTTCATTAACAGGTTTCCATCCTCATATTCAAATTTGAGCCCGATACTTTTCGCTTTGAATGCTCAATATATCAATTAGATTCCTTGAGTACAAGCTCATTTGCTTATGTATCGCTATTTCAGTTTGGCTGGCCAGTGTCATAAATGTTTATACTAACCATTTGATAAGTGAATAATTCACTTAATCTATACATAATTATTGATTTAAAAAATTTTGTTTGCTTATGTGTCATAAATACTATAAATACCGAAGAAGGATATTTTGTGTCAATGAAATGCTGTTCAGTATATCATTCGTTAACTTCGAGTAAATAAGTAGTACGGCTAAAAAACAGGCGACTTTCCTTATCAGTGATTGGAGTCAAACGTTTTGTATAACATCCCTACTCAACATGAAATTATCTCGTTCCCATAACATTTGAGACAAGATCTAGGGAAAAGACCATTTACTGCTGGATGTGATAATTTATAAACTTAAATGAAAATCTTTATTAAACAATGAAATTTAATAAATACATACTAAATGCTGCATTCTCATTTTGATAAAATCATTTGAAATGCTTAATCAGCTTTTTTACGTGTACATTAGTGTAATCAGTCTTATTAACTTCTACAAAATGTTTTTTTACGAAAAAAATGAAATATAACTGGTGAATATCTCCTATGTAAATAATGATCACTGACAGACTGAAATAAAATGGTGTTTAGTACGATTATTCGTTAGTGTGATTTTATAACAGAACTATATCAAAGATAAAATAGTCGCGTAAACCTGAAATATTCCTCAGCCAAACGTTAATGTGATATAGAACTGTAGGATTTTGTTAAGAGAGAAATGAATGCTGTACATATGTGAACTAAATTTAGCGGATTGAAACTTTGAATAATACTTGATTTCTATCATGACCAATGTCACTTGAATTTGATTTCAATAAAACACAGACGGTTAGAATTAAGATGAGACAAGGTGGATAATTGAATATTATATCTAATCTGACTAAACATTGAAAATTAGTAATTTAAAACTAGATATTTTGACATTAAGATTATTAGCTTGCTCCCTAGTCACTGTACCATTTATTCACAAAACAAGCAGAAGTCTGCTTTATTTTACTGCATGTTTGTGTAATGTGGTTTTGAAAGTAGAAGACATTTGTTGAATACTTTGGTTTGATAGTTTAAGCCTTTGAAGAAATGATTATGTGTGTTAGGATAAACGAGTGAGCAATTCTACGAATAGACGAAGTGTGCTAAGAAAATGACGGGGAATCGGCTAATAGAATTGTGGGTATTGGTCTACAGAAGTGCTAAAATAATATATTATGCTTATCTAACCATCACATGCCTCGATAAGTGATGATAGCCAGTGTAAGAGTTTGTTGGGGATAAGCTTAAACAGTTAGAGCAAAGTGTTGCTTGAGTTCATAAAGTCATGGACTGTTAGTTTGGGCTTTTGTTAGTAAGTACAGAATATTTATTTGGGGTTCACACGGTTATCGTGGCTAGAAATGGAAACGTTTGTTAACATGACTCGTAATCAATTCCAGATGCATTCACTCTTTTTCTTCTCCAAGATCTTGAGTTTCATTATTATTTATTCGATGAATTCATTCTTATCAAATCGTCTGTATACTTAACCATTTTTACTGTTCCGTATATCAACGCTACTGTGGTACTTGTCACTTTTCAATGATAACCACATGCTACTTCGAACAGAAGATCGTTTTTGAATACTTTTGAGGTTTTCAAATTCATGCTTTGTTTAACATTGATACAAGAATCATAGAAAATAGGACAGATGTAAATATACGGATACATTGGTTGAATATTTAAAAACAATCTAACCATTTTAAGTAAAGATGGATATTGTCTAGCAGTGGAATCCAGGACGCGCATTTCGTCCTAATTGGGACTCGTCAGGTGGATGTACGTGCATCTCAGAGTTGATGTTCACTCTGGGACTCGAACCCAGTACCTTTCGCTTCAAACGCCATGGCGTTATCCACTCAGCTACTGAGTCCTGATAGCCACTTGCTTGTGCAATGGGCTAAAGTTTTAAATTCATTTAGTATTGTTTGTTAGAATCTTCCCACTGATGTTTAGAACTGCAACTGCTCAGTCTCTTATTGGCCATATGTGAATACTGTGCGTATTGCTTCCATACAGCCTTATTTCACAAGCATTTTAAGCAAAGATGGCTATATCGAGGCAATACGCACAGTATTCACATATGCCAATTAGAGACTGACCAGTTTCAGTCCTAAATATTAATGGGAAGATTGAAACAAACAATACTAAGTGAATCTAATCTAACCATTTATTCGTGAATGATTTAAAATGCTATTTTGACGAAAGATATTAAAAACAATACTTTCTACTATAGTTTCTCATATCAAATCACAGTTTATCATAAAAGGATAACAACTGAAAACTAGTTTCGAAAAAATATTCCAGACTATTTTAGTGTACATTGATGAATAGTCTATTTGAAAGAAATTATATAACACTCCATTATGACAGAAACAATTCGTTTTTTTTAAATAACAAGTTTGTGTGTTTTTTTCAACAAACCATTTATTGTATTTTCTCATTCAAAATGATGGTAAAGTAGATATGAAGCGATAAACATTTCCCGGTTATCGATGTATTTGTTTATGAATAAATATTCTGATCTTGGTTTACGTCATTTCCATGGCTTCCGTTGAGTACAGTAAAGTTCTCTCTTTCCCAGTAACAAGATTTTCATGATTCGACTGCTTTGTACTTACGTTGATGTTAAGTTAGTGTATTATTGAAACAATAATCTGGTATTATTTTCGGTCTAGAAATTTTAGTAAAACATATTGCTAGGAAGCACTGCTATATTGAAACCTGACAGTGACAGTTATACTCAAGATCTAAACATTAGGAAATCGCTATTGTATACCATAAAAATTTCATGATAATCGTGTTATAGCAAACACTGGAATAAATGAAAACAGACTAACGGCTTTACCAGAAGTTCTGTTTAATCAATACTAAGTTTTTGGGGTTAGTTATTATCTAAGGTCCTTAATTATATTTCTAGTATAATCATTGTATTTAAAATGGTTTTACCAGAGTACATTTTATTGGTATTGTTTCAGATATTTATTACATCGATTTTGTTTTTGAACTTTTGAACAAAATATGATTTTTTTTACAACCCTAGCTAACTCAAAACAGTTCATTTTGATTAATTTGGAACTAGATGAGTATAGTTTTTACAGTCATTTTTTAAATGGTGATCATTAATTGTGTTTGGTTTATGAAAAAACTGTTTTGATTAATTGCTTCAGAGTGAATGAGAAGGGCGATACAAAGAAAATTTCAAGCATAAATTTTCTGTGTATAGTTATTATTTTTGATAGGTAAACATTTTTTCCATTATATTTATATTCTGTTTGGTCAATAATGACCAACTGTAAAAGTGGCTTTATATTTTACCGGTTAAAATTTCTGATATTATTAGATTGTTTTGATGTGTGGTTCATGATTTGTGATAAGATGTTGTGGAAAGAAAGTTTGAGTTCTTGCCTAAAACATAGTCTTGGAATCACCTAACAGTAAATGTTCTCACCATCTGCAACAACTTGTTTATGTATCAGGTCTCTGACAAAGCCAGAACACAAGTTTCTCGATGCAGGAAAACTGATAATAATTTGTTTAACGTTTATAAAGGAAACCAAAAAAAAATAGTAAGGATGAATATAACAAATTTTACTGTTGTTAACAAGTGACGGTTTTTCTATTTCAAATTATTAAGTTGCAAGTATCTGCATTTGTTGAAGCATAAATTGATAACAGTACAAAATTTTCACTCTGATCACTGATTTTAATTGATATAATTTTATTTGACATCTTACTATGGTATAGAAGGCCCAGTTTATTAGCTTTTTTATGTTTCTTTATTTATGTGCTGATCTTTCGCATCCTGTGCTTACAGTTGTCGGATTTTATTTATAATCATTATTTAGTCACCAACAGGCAGACAAATATTGACGCGAATTCATAAAGCTCAGTTGGCACCTTTCAACGTGCATCTCTTATGGCATAGGCGGCGTTTCTGTTTGTCAACTAAAGAACGAGTTTTCTTCTCAGAAGTCCGCCCTGTTGTCCCTAATGATTTTTAAAATCGCAAATAATAATGGAGGATGACTTTAAGTTACTAATATTTGATCATGGATATTTCCAAAGCATTGCTCATATATTTTGTACAATCAACTAAGTAGTACTAAAACAAGGCATTGGATTCTAATTAAAGCTCTTAAAGCGATTCACAAGGTAGGGAGTCTTTGCTTACTGAGGTAATTATAACATGTTTTAATTATATCCAATCACCGCCTACCTCGACGAGTAATAAAGTTTGGTGTAGTAGCAGAAGTACGTTGGAAGAAAGCCAGGTGTTGGCAAAACCAAAACTCTGCATTAGTCTATTAAGTCATTGACATTTGAACTTAGCCAGTAGATAGATACAAATTACCTAGTTGTGGTCCACCACTAGTCAAGTATTCCTTTCAGTTTTTATTTCAATATGTCTGTATTTCCCTTCCTTTTCTCTTTAATTTCAGTCCTCTCAGTC